CCTTAAATCTAACAAGGCACATGACCCTGATTCGTTGTCCCCCTTCCTACTGAAAGAGTGTGCTGAACAACTTGCTTCACCTATTTCCGAGTTGTTCAATTTGTGTATGTCATCTGGAAGCATCCCTGATTGTTGGAAAGCAGCTCGGATGACCCCAATTCCCAAAAAAGGATTTTCTAAATATCGACCGATTGCCTGCACATCAGCATTATTGAAAGTTTTCGAAAGAGTCCTTCTTTACCGGCTGACCCTTTTATCTGTCAGCCATGACCCTATTCACTTTGCATACAAACACTGGCATTCCACACTTGATGCTGTTGCTCACGCTCTTCACTCCGTTTCATCCTTATTGGATAAAGCGGCTGGCATCGTCCGTTTAACGTTTCTTGATTATGCTAATGCTTTCGGATCACATGCCTGCGGCATTCTCATTCAACGTCTTTCGGATTGTGGTCTGGCACCTAATTTACCGAATGTTCTAATTAATTACTTCACTCATCGGAGGGTGCAATTTTGTCTCCATTTTTTTCACTGTATATTAAGGACCTTCCCATCCCTCCCAACTTTATCGCCTGCAAGTATGCGATGACGCGGTTGTCGGCTGCCCCTCAACTGCTCTTGATTGTTTCTGTCAACTTCAAGTTTAGCTAAATAACATTTTTAGTTGGTCGACTTCTCGATATTTATTGATAAATGAAGATAAATGTGTGGATGTTTCTTTTAGCCTACAAAACAGACATGTCTTATCAAACCCTTTTGAGCAATCAGCCTGTACTTTCTGTCAATGGTAATACCATCCCCAAAGCTAACCCTGTGAAATATCTTGGAGTCACTTTGTCACAAGATCTTTCTTGGTTCAAACATGTTGAAAATGTTTATATTCGGGTTTCTAGACTATCTTTCTACGCCTTTAGGCCTAAAAAGCTCAGCGTTCCCTTAAACGTAATTCTTAAATTTGTGACTGCATGCATTCTTCCACATTCGCCGTAATGTTCTCCCGTATATTTTCCTGGCCTGGAGGAGAAAGACTTTATTCTCTTTTCCAGATGCGGTTGCAGCGGCATTTCAAAAACCGTTTTGGTTGACTTTATTGTGAGCAAGCATTCTGAATCGTGCGATCGATTTATCAGCCATATCCTGTCCAATGGAGAACACAGCCTGCATGCCCATCTCAATAGATCGGTGTTCCTTCAAGTACCCGTTCCCAATTTCGGATTCTTGGTGCACGCATCACTACGCACAAAAACAGCACGATCCCTTATTTTGCTCGTATCTTGGTCAACCGAGCAAATATTATTACTGACTTCAACAATCATCTTTCACATTAGGCTTTTATCTAATCCGTTTGTTTTACATTTGGTAAATGTATATTTCTTCTTTTTTTTCCAATGTTTAACGTTTTCCCCACTGCGACTTGTCGAAAATGCTGAAATTTCATTCTATCGGGTGCATAAAGCTTTACTTGACTTGACTTGAGCTTCATACGGATAGATTTAAAATGTAAATTAGTAAACTTGTAGCACAAGTATTTTAGTGTAGAAATCATTGTTTGGTTAGCCAAATGCAAACCACTTGTATGATTGAATGAATATTTCATTTATGTGGTCAATTCCAGTTCATGAAAATTTCCCTGAATTCTCCTTCGAATCGCGTTCTACGGGCGACCATTGTGATGGACTGTGATTGGTCAATCATTCGACCAATCAACAATAAATCTAGTGCCTACTTCGTGATTGGTTCACAACGAACACGGGAATAGCGGCTTCGTCCTAGCAGATGACTAGCACCGCGCTGGCAAAAATACGCACAGACACGCTTTCTGTCTCCGGGACCGTTTGTAACTTGAATTATTACTCATTGTCACATTATCACCCGTGCAATGGGTGCATTTTGTTAGATAGCAGTATCCATTCCGTGTCACAACCAGATCATGCTTCGGCCAGATTGGAATTTTGACCGAGCTTGGCTACTGGCTTTATTTACTGCTTTTAGTGGTGTTCAGTTAACTGTCTGTTCCGACTCATCTGCTATCAGATCCTCGTCCAGTGATGAACACTCGGAATTACTCTTTCCACCCGGTGCCGTAAAGCGCTATGCACACACAGAAGCGGGAAGCTATTTCGGATACTCGGTGGCATCCTATGTGGGACAAGCTCAGTCGTTCTGTCTTGTCGGCGCACCCCGAGCCCGAATGGAAGGGGGCTTCAGTGATCTGTCCCTGTCTGCGTGGAATCAACATAGAGAAGACTCCACCGGTTTGGTCTACCGACTCGATTTGGATCAAACTTTGCCCTATTGCTCACTGGTACCTATTGCGACCACAGATGAGGCGAGAAAAGAGCACGGAACACCAACACCTGGAAGTAAGTGTGTGTGTGTGTCATTTGGGAGTTTGACGTACGCATTATCTCCCAATTCTGCCTTCACGGTTTCTTTCTTTACAGTGGTTAAAACAAAATGGGATATATGGCTACGTTTTAAGCGTGAGACGATCATACGTCGTGCTTCATGACTTAAGACACATCTGGAAGTGTATGCTTAGTTCCCATTGACACTTTGGTGGTCATGGAGTGTCAAGTGATAAACCTCTACGATGTTTCCCTGAAGGATAGACATCATTGTCAAGGGATCCGAAAGTGTCAATTCTGATGTAACTTGGACAATGATCATAAGAAATATTCTACTGTATTTTCTCTGGCATTTGTCCATTGATAAACACAAAACTCACACGGGGATTGGAATGATACGATCCGTTCGACTCCGGTTCTCGAGATGCTAGTTACTTTGTTTGTTTTAAACTCGCAAATAGAAAGTGAAGCAATCGAATGGATGGTGCAAGAGTTTGATCAATGTTGTTTATATACGGCCCAGAGATTTGGCCACTAAGGGAGCAGGATAAAAATAGATTGTCGTTGTTCGAACACCACTGTCTACGTCACATTTAACGAGTCTGGTGGGGAACTGGACGAGCAAGGCTGTGAGGTCAGGCATAGTGTTTTAGATAATCCAGGTCGTCCATTGGAGCAAAGGATCCGCTTCCATAGATTACGTTGGTTAAGGCATGTCAGCAAATAGGTTGCCATGGCGACCAATGTTTACCGAGGTAGGTAGCCAATGGAAAAAGATCAAGGGTGGTCAAACTAACACTGGCATGAGGGCATGAAAACCCTAACCAGGAGACTAGGTCACATAACTTCCGTTAGGCTCCCTGTCGGGTGACCCCGAGATCACGGTCATCGATGGTCGGAGATACTATGAGATATGGCTGGGTGTCACAAACAGTGGCGCTCATGCATCTACTCATTATTCTCCTAACACCATTCTATATTAATTCTCTATCTTTCGCTTGAATTTGCTCTCAACATTCCAATCTTCATTCTACGGTTTTATCCAAATGGGCAACCTAAGGACAGCAACCAAAACCGGTGCACGAAATTGCATAGTTAATGGTTGCAAAAATTGAAAATGAACTGAACTGAACTGAACTACGCATAATTTCTCCATCATCATCGCACGGGTTTCGTTGACAGATAAATATCTTTCAGATCAGAGATAAGTAAAAGTGCGCGTAATCCCATCAGAATCATTAAACCCATCCATGGTCGTTGAATACCAACTGTGATCTCGCGGAAATGAATGGCACAATCCTGATCCTTATCAATCCTTATCGACCTGGCAAGTAACTTAGCTCAACCACTAAACAAAATATTCCAACAATTGTTCAACAAAACTGCGCTCCCAAAAACATGGAAACAAGGGATAATCTCTCCGATATACAAGGGCGGTTGTCGTAGCGACCCAGCTAACTACCGCCCCGTTACTCTCCCCCCCGTATTATCCAAAGTCATGGAATCCATTTTGGCAGACAATGTGATAAATCACTTGGAAAAATACAACGTGTTATCCCCGGCTCAACATGGGTTTCGTTGCAGGCGATCTTGTACCACTAACCTGTTTCTGGCCCGAGAAAAGTGGACAAAAGCAGCTGATCACGCTGATGCAGTAGATGCCGTGTACCTCGACTTCTCCAAAACAATCCAGATTCTTTCATCGAACCCAGAGATTGCTAATTCGAATTCTGAAATTTCCATCGGAAAATGTGCAGCGGTAACACCAGCTTCAAGAAAGGAAACACGAACTTATTCAATCTATCTTTGATCGACCATATTTCCGTGTATACTAGTTCATCGTGCTTTCCTCTGGGATCGAATGAACAGAACGAATGCGATTGCCATTAGATTGAGGCTGTGTGACCAAGACAACCGCAATTGGCAATGTGCCGTATTAGAAGAGAAATTGGTCCGGGCGAACATGAACACGTTCATTGATCCGATTGTTCAATAGCCAGCCAGTATGCCTTTATCCACTTTATCCCTGTATCAGTCAATGGCATATTGACCTGCCGGTCATGAGAATTAGGTTCCAGTTCGTCCCGCAGAGAAAGCGACCATGGAATTCTGGAATTCTCGCCCCGTTCTCTAATGAATCGCATTAACCCCATGCGTAACATTACCACCCCCCCCCCCTCACCATCACGCTGCGTTTGCTTCCTATTCCCCATAATCAATCGAGAGTAGTATAGAATAGAATACAAAATCACAAGTGGGCGTTTTATTTATTTCTGTTGATCCTAACTTAAGGATGTGGCCTCGTAGCTCAGCTGGTAGAGCATGAGCCTACAAAGCGTAAGCGGCGTCCATGTGTGGGTTCGAATCCCACCGAGGTTACTGAATTTTTCGCAATATAGACATAAAAACATCAAATCTACCAAACAATACTCTGAATAGAATAAGGCCATTGTGGGAGCTATCATTCCCCATGGGTAAAAGGAATCCATAGACCAAAAGCGATTAAAAGTGCCCGGAAAAACAGTAAATTAATCTGATCAAATGAGGATGCGTTCAGTCCAGGAATCTCTCCGAATATCCACAGTGGGTGATTCGACGGAATATTCAGGCCCGGAAAAGGTGTTAGCTTATGTTCGACCTGAGTTTACTGTTGTTACATATGCACAAGACACTGTCCGGAGGAGGCCGGAGTTGTCCATTATGAACAAAGTTATTGATATAGATATGTTGGCATACATATAACAAACATATCGTTTAGAACAGATCACAATAATTCCCACAAGCAAGAAGGATAATTTATGGAACGATCCGACAGTAGATGCGCATTTTCCGTAGTTCCAGTGTCGTAATCATTTTAAGATAAAGCCAATCACATCCTTTTGCGTAATCCAAACGTACTACTCACACATATGAGCGGTAGCTCACAATAACGATTTCTCTCAAGTAACACTGCTTTTCTTCAACCATCATACATCGTCTCGACAAAAGTAACGAAGTTGGTTGTACTTGCACTGTTCCGGCCAACTGTTTCCTCAAATTTACTTAGTGAATAGTGGAAGATGATGAGATGGTGATCACATTCTACCCGATCATTCCCATCGATCCGGTATCACAGTTGCTCTTTCAGTATGTTTTTACGATCTGCCCGAACAGTGACCTATCCGAATAACAATGGGAAGCACAACATTTAATCCGCTGTTCGGTGGATGATTGAGAATTTTCGCATGAAAAATGGAATGTTCAAATCATGATGGGCTAGTAACAAGTGTCTTTTACTTGGTTTAGTCAAAAGAGCGGATAATTAGGGGAAATCAACATGAAATGATTAGGGAAAACAGATAATTTATTTTTCCGTAATTGTAAGTTTCAGATAATTTGCTTTTTGAAGGATAAGTTAATACAACCAGGTGACTGTCCGTGTGATGCCCCGTTTTCATCAGTGTTGATGTGAGGATTTTCGCTGTTTGGGGGAACATAAATGAAAAAACATTGAGCTCCCATTTCCATTTGGTGGCACAGTCACTAGACCGGTGGATTTTGTTTCATCAAACAAAATGAAAAGTAATCGATCTGCTCCTCCTTCTCTCGGTTGTTCAATTGTGAACAGACAACAGCACACCTTGATACGCGCAAGTCATCGATTTTCACGCTTTCGCGTCGATGAATGCGCCACTGGGGCGCACAAAATCGAAGGTGACGCGCTTGCGAACGAACGAACGGACGGACAGACGAGCGGGCGGATGCACGCACGCACGCACACACACATACGCATGCACATATGCAGAAGCTTGTTCGCGTTTATCGATCACACCTGGTTGTTCAGAAGCCGAGACTGGGTTGGGCTGCGTCGGGGATGTGAACACGGTCGGGGCTGATAGAAGTTTGAGGGTATAATGGAGAGAGAACCGGTGGACACCAGGGCTAAGACCCGGTATCGTCCTGATCCCCTCTGACTCACTCACACAAACCCCTCAATCCTCGCGTAACAGCTGTTTCACAAGCATCAGCACAGAGGACCCGGTTTTTGACAGACACAAAACGTAGTAGCAGTAGTGGTAGTAGTAGTCATAGATTCGGGATCGGAACCCCGAGGGAAACGGGTGATTGACCGAATCGTACACACCGAGAGATAGAGGCACGAGGCACGAGAGCAAAAGAGAACAAAGCAAAGACCTGTTCGTCAGCTGGCAGTTCTGTTATGCATGCTTCAATTCAGCTGCTTTAATGAAGCTCTCGCACGCGGGTCACAGATGACATCTGGTCTCAGTTTTGTTCGAAAGCACATGACCACTGGGGACGAGGACGACGACGATGACACAAAGAACTGCAAGGGGGTGGGGGGTTGAAACCATTCAGTCTGGTGTCATTTTGTAGGATCTTATTGATTAGACAGTTTCCACCTACTTGAGAATGAGTGGTTTGATTACCACTGATAACCACTACCTATTCATTCCTGATTGGTGATGTACAATTGATTGCCCGAGTTCTTGGAAATAAATCGAACAGAGATGCAATAAAAACACGTGACCAAACAATTTGTGGTCATCGTCCCGGAACTAAAGAAAAATGTATGCCGTCAGAACTGGGACACAAATATCCCATTACTTTCCGAATATGATTTACAAATAAGGCGCAGGTGAGGCAATGCATTACACAATGTTTACGATTAAATTTTCGCGCGATAGATTTACAACAAGGGTCAACATCGGATACAGGAATATACAGAGCTGGCTGGAGGAGTTGTTCATCACTCATTCGGTGTTGTACTTCCTATGCTTCCACGACATGGATGTGATAACGGGAGACGAGAGTTGTCCCCTTTCCACGTTTGAAATAATCCCTTGTGATGTGTTTGGAGTCCTGCGGTCCGATGTTCTCAATTGTGTGTGAACCGAGAACAGGTGGAGCAATGAGTTCGATTTTCCGGGGTGAAATTTGTCTCCAATGCACATCAAAGTAAACGCGAACTGAAAAAAATATTGGTTGCAGTGAAATAGGACGCTTGTGCTCTGCCCTTAAGGCATTGAGATTGATCGTTGATGATGTCGATAGATTCGCACTGTTCGCGTAGTCCGTAAATGTGGGGCGTGTAATGAATGACAATTTTCTGAATGAGATAAGAGAACTGCTTTTGGTCGGTACATTTCATTCGGAAGTTACATGGCAACATTGCCGAGGACATCAGCCTCCAGCGTATGCAACGC